AGGTCTTTCTTAGGGCACATAAAAACAAACATACATATATTGATCTATGTATATGCCAGTGTATATTGTTCCTTTGAATAAAAAGTGAGTCATACTGTGATATATTTTATTATACTATATATGGTGATTTATTTTTTCCACTCAGTATTTTACCTGTTGCTCATCATTCCCCTGCTGATTGTAAGATTGTCTTAGTTTTTCATTATTATTACATTAGCAAACATCTTTCTACATATTCTTATGTCCTTGTATGTATTATGTATGAGTATATCTGAAGGACAGATTCCTAAAAATGGAATTACCTTGTCAAAAGGCATAGCCATCTTAAATTTTCATGTGTAATGTCAAATTGCCTTCCAGAAAGATAGTATAAGTTTACCTTCCTACCAAGTGTATATGAGCACTGTTTTTCCCACATATATTTACTGATATCAGATATCATCAATCTCTAAATATATAGCAACTTAATTTTTTAATGTACTATATACTTCATATAAATTAGCTTTTATTTTTATCAAAGTAATACATGCACTTCATAGTACAATAATTAAACAATGCTAAAAGTATTCCAAAAAAATGGTTCCTTGTCCAGTTCAGCTCTGATGAAATAACTACTTTCATTCTTTTAGCTTTTTCATGTAGTATCTATCTCTCTAATTCTAAAGTTTAGGCTTATTTATTTAGTGTATTAATTTTAGACATTAGTGATTTTATAGTAGACAGGGAGTTAGCATAACCCAAATATAAAGCAAGGTTTACATACCTATAGTCATCCCATCTTCCTATATGCAAGACCTTAAATAGTCATCTAATATGATTTGCAGTTTTTCGAGGGTGTTTTTTTTTTTTGAGACAGAGTCTCACTCTGTCGCCCAGACTGGAGTACAGTGGTGCGATCTCGGCTCTCTGCAACCTTCGCCTCCCAGGTTCAAGTGATTCTCCTGCCTCAGCCTCCCTAGTAGCTGGGTCTACAGGTGCCACCACGAGGCCTGGCTGATTTTTGTATTTTTTAGTAGAGACGGGGTTTTACCATGTTGGCTAGGCTGGTGTGGAACTCCTGACTTCAAGTGATCCACCCACCTTGGTCTCCCAAAGTGCTAGGATTACAGGTGTGAGCCACCACACCTGGCCTCAGTTTTATTTTGAAGAGCAAAATGTTCAAGAGGCCACATTACCTGAAACATACTTATTTGATGCTTGTTTTCTATGCTTACAGAGGCTAGCTGACAGAACCAGTGTTCGAGGGGGAAAAAAGAAAGAAGGTTAAAATTTAAAAGGTTTTAAGATAGTCCCATGATTTATATTATTAGTGTTCATGGTTGTTATATGATCTTGGGGAAGTTGCTTAGCCTATTTGGGCCACTGCCTCCTGTAAAATGGGAGTAACACTTATAAGGTTTAATACGCTGCTACAGATTTAAGTGCTGAATGTGCCTGACACATACAAAGCATATTACAAATATTATTATAATAACCATAATAGAGTAGTAACAAAAATAATCCAACATGGCTGGGTGCAGTGGCTCATGCCTGTAATCCCAGCAGTTTCGGAGGCCGAAGGGGGCGAATCACTTGAGGCTAGGAGTTCGAGATCAGCCTGGACAACATGGCGAAACCCCATCTCTACCAAAAATACAAAAATTACCCAGGTATTGTGGCACACACTGTAATCCCAGCTTCTCAGGAGAGTGAGGCATGAGAATCACTTGAACCTGGGAAACAGAGGTTACCATAAGCCAAGATCATGCCACTGCACTCCATCCTGAACAACAGAGCAAGTCCAATATTAGGTTATTTTGTAGAATTTACAAATAAACTCCTATAGGACGAAATGTGTTTTAAGAGTTCAACTCATAAATTTAGTTTATTTCTCTACCTATAGAGATTTGTCGATTCTTATAGGTAGAGAAATAAACCAAATTCCAACTGCTCCTTATGCTCATTCCTCTGGGTGTTAAGAGTGGGAGAGGGAAGACTTGACAAATTTACTGAAAGAGGTATGGGAGCATGAAAGCCTTAGACAAGGTACAAAGATCCACTCACAGAAAGAGAAAATCTGAAAGAAGTTCCAAAACATTGATCACAGGTTTGGAGTTTGATAATTCACAGCTCTGTGTATAGAGAAGAGCTTAACGATAAGCAGTACCAGAATTGGTAGCTTTAAATTATAAGCATTGCCTCATAAGGGAAACATGAAGACTTGGAGACATGGCAGTGAAGAAGGAGGAAGAAGAAAAAATTCTTCAGGAAAAGAAAAAAACTGAACTTAGAGAAGAGGGTGTTCTTGAACTAGCAGCTCTGCCTATGAAACGAACAGAAATAGAAAAGAGCAGGCCACATCCATGCAGAACTATAAGAAAAAACAAACAGGAAATATGAATCAGCATTTCAACTGATGAAAACTACCCCCATCAAAAACAGCAGGAAAAGGCCGGGCACAGTGGCTCAAGCCTGTAATCCCAGCACTTTGGAAGGCCGAGACGGGCGGATCACGAGATCAGGAGATCAAGACCATCCTGGCTAACACGGTGAAATTCCATCTTTACTAAAAAATACAAAAAAACTAGACGGGCGAGGTGGCGGGCGCCTGTAGTCCTAGCTACTCGGGAGACTGAGGCAGGAGAATGGCATAAACCCGGGAGGCGGAGCTTGCAGTGAGCCAAGCCAAGATCCGGCCACTGCACTCCAGCCTGGGCGACAGAGTGAGACTCCGTCTCAAAAAAAAAAAAAAAAACAGGAAAAAATTGACACAGTGCTCCAAGTGAAATTAAACATCCTGAAACCAATGTTGAGAGATTGAAAAATGAAATTAAGAAATATTCTGAAACAAATATAAAACTCGGAACAGAAAGGAACAAAAAGCATTAAGAAATGAACACAAAGTAGATTAAACAGAAAAATAGAAGATGAAATGATAACCAGTAATGAAGTTTTAACATTCCCACAGGACAAAATTGACCAAGTTGAAATGGGAGATGGATCCGAAGTTTACTGTATATAATTGGTGTCCTTAAATATTTAAAACTATAATCCAAGAAAACTTTCTGGAAGTGAAAAGAGATCTGAATCTAGACCTCAGAAGTTCATACCAGAAGGCACACTTAAAGATACTTCCTAGTAAAGCTGTATGACTGTAAAGATGCAAAGAATTCTCAGGGTCTCCAGGCAAAGACGTGACATAGAGGCAAGAGAATTAATTAGCCCATTGTCAGATTTCTCAAAAGCAATGTAACAAAGCAAGACAGCAGAGCAGCATGAGGAAAGTGACTGCTAGCCAAGGATTTTATATCCAGCTAACTGTTGTTCAGGTATTAAGACTGCAGAACAACAGTTTTAATATGCAAAAACTCAGGAAATACTCTACTTGTTTACCCCTTCTGAGGACACTCGAAAAGGATGACTTTCATCTAAAAGAGATAGTTGGGAAATTTCCTACAAAAAGACTGTGACAATAAGTATTTCAGATATCTTTTTGAACTAAGATTGAAACCAATAGTGGGGACCTAGAGAATAGAGTAGTACATAAATGTTATACGTTCTGACAAAGCAGAAAGAATGCAACTGAAATATAAGGGGATGGGAAAGGGAAAGAAAAGGAAAAACTAAGGCCATGTGTGGTGGCTCACACCTGTAATCCCAGCACTTTGGGAGGCTTAGGTGGGTAGATTACTTGAGCCCAGGAGTTCTAGACCAGCCTGGGCAACATAGTGAGACCCAGTCTCTACAAAAAAAAAAAAAAAAGTTTAGCCAGGCGTGGTGGCTCATGCCTGTAATCCCAGCTACTCAGGAGACTGAAGTAGGAGTCTCATTTGAGCCCAGGACGTCAAGGCTGCAGAGAGCTGTGTTTGCCTAACTGCACTCCAGCCTGGGCAACAGAATGAGACCCTGTCTAGAACTGTTCTTTTCAGAACTAGAATAAGATTAATTACTGTAGTTGAAATAATATGAGGGAGTCAGAGGCTACCATCTAAAACTGAAAGACCAAATAGAAAAGATTAGGTAAGAAAAAAGATACGACATACTATAAAAGCTATTAATATAAAGGTAAGCATATTAGGAGGACTTTCCAAAATACTGAGAGAAATTTTTTAAGGGACAAAGAAAATTATAATGGAATAGGAAAAAAGTGTACAGTACATAATGCACACCCTAATGATAAAATATGTGGAGAATGGAGAGCAAACATAAAGGCCAGGACAAAGATGTACCAGGCAAATAGAAACCCCAAGAATCCAAGACTGGCGATGCTGATAGCAAAGTAGAATTCAAACCAAAAAAAGCATTAAATCAGACAAAAGAGAACAGTTTATAATGCTAGAAACCATGATTCACAACAAAGAATAACAGTTAAATATGTACCAAATAACACAGCAACAATCTGTATAAAGCAAAATCTGTATGAAGTATAAGAAGAAATAAAAAACTAAAATCAGAGGACTTTGACACTTAGCACAAGATGTAGTAGATAAAAAAAGGATATAAAAGATCTAAGTAATATAATGCAAATCTTCAAGTATATCCCTAATAATCAAGAATATACTGTTTCCATTCCCCCCCCCTCCCTGCCCCCCCGTCTCCCAGACTGGAGTACAGTGGCATGGTCACAGCTCACTGCAGCCTTGACCTCCCCGCCTCAGGTAATCCTCCCTCCTCAGTCTCCCAAGTAGCTGGAGCCACAGGTGCACACCACCATGCCCAGCTAATTTTTTCTTTTTGCTTATTGTAGAGACGAAGTCTCTCCATGTTGCCCAGGCTAGTCTCAAACTCTTGGGTTCAAGCAGTCTTCCTGCCTTGGCCTCCCAAAGTGCTGGGATTATAGGCATGAGCCACCATGCTGGGACAGAGAGTATGTTCTTTTTAAACACAGAATATTCACAAAAAAATTGTCCATCTATTAGAAAACCATTAGTAGGTCCCATACAAGAAAACAAAAACCCAAAAACAAAAGGACATTGCACTTCCGTCTTGAAATTAAGAAACCTTGTATTATGTATTCACAGAAAACCTTGTATAAGAATTTGTGTGGCACCTTTATTCGTAATAAAATCTGGATGAAGAAAGGGTAAGCTGATACATTGACAAATATTACTCAGCAATAAAAAGAAACCCTTTGTACATGTAACATGAATGAATCTCAGAAATACTATGCTGACTGGAAGAAATTAGACACAAAAATATCCATGCGATTTTATGCCATTTATATAAAATCTTAAATATATACAAAATCTAGCCAAAGCTGATAGAACTCAGGATTGGGGAGAGCTTGAGTGGGAAAGGACAGGAAAGAGCTTTCTAGAGTGACAGAAAAGTCCTATATTTGGATAAGTGTTTAACAGCATGCCTTAATTTTAAAACTTTTTAACGGGTAAGAGGGAAACACAAATTGCAAAGTTTCTGGAAAATGTTGATAAGGAAAATACTACATAATACTACCTACCAGAATCTGTGGAATACATTTAAAGCAGTGAGCAGAGGAAAATTCATAGCCCTGAACACTTACATAAATGAAAATAAATTCCCAATTCAGAAATGAACAAAGTAAACCGAAAGCACAAGAAAGGAAATAAAGATAAAAGTAGACGTTAATGAGTTAACAGAAAAACTATACGTGTAGATGATGAATCAATCTTGGACTCTTGAGGGAAGAGTCACATAATAGATAAGTCACTAGCTAATTTAACCAAGTGGGGAAAGGGAGAAAGCACAAATAAAATTTTAAGAAATGACAACGGGAAGATAACATTGGATACAGAGGAAATTGAGAACTATTTTAATACAGAACTATTTTGCACACCTCTGTACAAATACATTTCAAAACCTGGATGAAATGGATAATTTCTTAGGAAAATGCAGTTTAATAAAATGGACCTCATTAGAGATGAAAAGAAAATAACAGCAATTTTCCTAGAAGAAATAGAAATTTGTCAAGGAACCATCCCACCAAACACCAGGCCTAGGTGGTTTCACAGGGGAATTCTGCCTGATCAGATATTCCCGATGCTACATGAATATAGAAAATGGAAAGCAAATTATTTTTATGACGTAAGAGTAATACTGGACTGTGCGCAGTGGCTCACACCTGTAATCCCAACATTTTGGGAGGCCAAGGTAGGAAGATCACTTGACCCCAGGAGTTTGAGATCGGCCTGGGCAATTGTTGTGAGACTTCAGCTCTACAAACAACTAAAAAATTAGCTGAGCACAGTGGTGTGTGCCTGTAGTCCCAGCTACTTGGGAGGGCTGGGATGGAAGGATCACTTGAACCCAGGGGTGTTGAGGCTGCAGTGAGCCAAGATCATGCCACTGCACTCCAGCCTGGGCAATAGAGCAAGACCCTGTCTCAAAAAAAAAAAGTAATACTGATTTCTTAACCTGGTAAAGATAGCTCAAAAAGTGAAAATTACAGAGATACCACATACAGATACTAATGGAAAACTTATTGTGCAGTCTCTCACACCATATTACAAAAATATGATGAGTGAGTTTTATACCAGGAATACGAGGATGATTCAGTATTTAGAAATCTATTTATGTAATTCACCATATTAATCGGTCAAAAGAGAAAAAGTTGTGTTCTCTTTATAGAAGCTGAAAAAGCCTATGACAAAATTCAACACCTGTTCCTAACAGAAACCTTTCAGAAAATATGAATGGATGAATACTTCCTTAACATATAATATTTTTATTTTTATGAATACACACATATGCACATGTACATAGCCTTAACCCTAAAGCCAGAATCTTATTAAGAAACACCACAATCAAGAATAAAGTAAGGATGCCCATTTTCTCCATGACTTAACATTATACTGGAAATATGAGCTCATACAGATAGAAAAGAAAACAAATGGCCGGGCACGGTGGCTCATGCATGTATTCTCAGCACTTTGGGAGGCTGAGGCGGGTGGATCACCTGAGGTCAGGAATTCGAAACCAGCCTAGCTTAGTGAAACCCCGTCTCTACTAAGAATTTTTTTTAAAAAAATTATCCGGGTGTGGTGGCACGCGCCTATAGTCCCAGCTACTCAGGAGGCTAAGGTAGGAGAATCGCTTGAACCCTGGAGGTGGAGGTTGCAGTGAGCCAAGATTGCGCCAATGCACTCCAGCCTGGGCAACAGAGTGAGACTCTGTCTCAAAAAAGAAATTAGAGACGTAACAGTGGAAAAAGAAGAAAAGATTGTTAGTGACATGATTGTTTATCTAGAAAGCCTTGGAAAATCAATGACAAAACTACCTTCAAACAATTCAGCGAGGTAGGATATAATAAACCTTCATGTAGTGAGAAAATAACCAGTTAAGAAAATACAACAAAAGAGAAGATGACAATACCAACAACAAAACATAGATTGAGCATCCCTAATCCGAAAATCCAAAGTCCAAAATGCTCCAAAATTTGAAACTCTTTGAGCACGGACATGACACCACAGATAAACCACATGGCACCTGAGTGACACCTTTGCTTTCTGCTGGTTCAGTGTACACAAACCTTACTAAATGCACAATTTTTTTTTATACTGTATAAAAATATCTTCAGTTTATATATATAAGTTGGATATGAAACAAACAAATTTCGTGTTTAGACTTGGGTCTCATCCCCAAGATATCTTATGTGTATGCACATATTCCAAAATCTGAAATGCTTCTGGTCCCAAGCATTTTGGATAGGGAATACTCAACCTGTAATTAAATTCCTAAGGATTTACTTTTTAAAAACGTGTTAAAAACCTATGTGAAGCAGGCTATATAAAACATTCCCAAAAGACACAAAGCAGACTTGAACAAATGAAAAGACATCCATTGTTCTTTAGACATATCAAAATGTCACTTTTTCCCAAGTTAATTCGAAATTTAATGAGATCCTAATATAAAGTCTGATAACTTTTTGGTATAGAGTTGAACTATCTAATACTGAAATGCACTTGGAAAAATAAACATGCAAGAATGTAAAAACATTAAGAGATTTTTGAGGGGGTTTCTAGCTCTGCGAGATATCAAAATACATTCCAAACCCTTAATGATTCAGAAAGCAAGACATTGACAAAAGAATAGACAGACGAGGGAAATAGTGTGAAATCCAGAAATGGACACAACTACATATGGAAACCTAGCACTTAAAGTGGTATTTTAAATCACTGAGACAAAGATGGACAGTTTGATAAAAGATGTTGGTACAACTAGATAGCCATTTGGAAAAAATATTAGAGCTGTTCTTCATGCCATACATAATAATAAAGTCCAGACACATCAGATCTAAATATAAAAACTATACAAATGCCAGGAAAAAATATGGGAAAATTTTTCTGTACCATGCTTCAGGAAAAAGTTTTCTGACTCATGATCAAGGTACAATGAAATAAAATACTGATAAATTTTGCTACCTAAGATATTTTAAATATATGGGGAAAAACTTCATGTGCAAAATCACAATTTTCCATACATACAGATAAAGGGTAAATGTAAATTTCTCAATGCCAAGAACTTTGAAGAAAATTAAGACTAAAAACCCTAAAGAAGAAAAAAGGTAGAGGTAGGCACATAAAACCACAAAAAAGAAGATAAAATCCTCTAGGGCCGGGCGCAGTGGCTCAAGCTTGTAATCCTAGCACTTTGGGAGGCCGAGGCGATCAGATCACGAAGTCAGAAGATCGAGACCATCTTGGCTAACACCGTGAAACCCCGCCTCTACTAAAAACACAAAAAATTAGCTGGGCCTGGTGGCACGCTCTTGTAGTCCCAGCTACTCGAGAAACTGAGGCAGGAAAATCGCTTGAACCTGGGAAGCAGAGGTTGCAGTGAGCCGAGATGGTGCCACTGCACTCCAGCCTGGGCGACAGAGTGAGACTCTGTCTTTAAAAAAAAATGCTCTGTAAAACTGCCCTGAGTGCCCAGATCTTGGCTTTCAATACCAGTTCTTTGCTAATAAGGACTAGAGTTCCTTGGAAAAATTATTGATTTCAGGGCTGGAGAAACAGGTATAAAATGAGCCTGGAATATCTTGATATGCAAGAAAGTAAGGAATTCCTCAAAATACAGATGGAAGTATGTCAAAAGGACATTAGGAGGCCTGGCTTAGTGGGTCACGCCTGTAATCCCAGCACTTTGGGAGGCTGAGTCGAGCAGATCACTTGAGGCCAGGAGTTCGAGACCAGCCTGGCCAACATGGTGAAACCCTGCCTCTAGTAAGAATACAAAAATTAGCCTGGCTTGCTGGTGCACACCTGTAATCCCAGCAACTCAGAAGGCTGAGGCACAAGAATCACTTGAACCCAGGAGGCGGAGGTTGCAGTAAGCTGAGATCACGCCGCTGCACTGGCAACAGGGGGAGACTGTCTCAGGAAAAAAAAGGCACACAAGAACGAGTTCAGGGGCATCATTGTGGCCAAATCTGGCATATTTCAAACCCCAGAATAAGAATAGTGATGAATGATAAACCACTGGGAAAAAAATAGAAGTTAGTGAATTCATACTGATAATGAATAGGTAGGTATGTCAATAAAAGGGGATGATGACAATATTTCTTGCTGACTGATAGAAAAAAGTGCTGGAGTTGGGAAATCGTTTTGCAGCCACCATATTAATGATTGGTTTGGCACAAGTTATCATTAGATGCCAAATTTAAGAATGGCGGTGAGACTTCAGTGAGAAACAATGTGATCATATTTCAAAATGTGTCCCTGAGGTTGCTGTTGGTTGCAAGGAGAAATACATAATATACAGTGGAAAACTGGACTACACCTTAAAAAAGTAATCAAAATTAACATCACTAGTGAGAGACAGATAGGAATCTTGTGACTCTGGTTACGATATCCTGAGGTCAAATGTAGTATTATGGGGTACATAACCAGAGTCTCCTAAGGACACAGGCACATCAGATGAACTTCAAATGAGAAGCATTCTGTTAAGGGTGAAGGGGCTTGCTTGCATTCTTCAAAAATAATTTCAAACCAAACATGTCAGTGTACACCTGTAATCCCAGTTACTCAGGAGGCTGTGGCGGGAGGATCGTTTGACACCAGGAGTTTGAGTCCAGCCTGGGCAACGTAGGGAGACCCTGTGTCTAAAAAAAATTAAAACTAATCTTCCAGATTAAAGGACACTAAAAGATAAATATGACTTTTTAATTTTCATGTGATCCTGGTCCTGAAGGAGGAAATGCTATAAAGACATTGAGTCAGTTGGAATGTGTATAGTGAATTAGGGGTAAGTATCATATATTGTCAGATTTCCTAAAACTGATAACTATACTCCAGTTACAAGAAAATGTTTTTATTCCAAGGAAATGCACTTTGAATTATTTTGGGATATGTAACTTTCAAATTATTCAGAAAAACTATGTGTTTAGAGAAGAAAAAATGGGGTAAAATATTAGTAATTGGTGAGTTTGAGTAGAGTACACAGGACTTCATTGTATTATTCTTCTAACTTTCCTGAAACTTCAAAGTTATTTCCAAATAGCTTTAAAAAAAAAAAAACAGTGACAACTATACTGGCATACCATTTTTCATCCATCATTTTGGGAAAAATTCAGACACTTGACAATACATTCCCAGTGCCTCTGGGGAAACAAGCACTCTCAATATTGCTGGTGCAAATGATTACATTTCTTTTGAGTGGAATTTGGCAATGTCTAACAAAATTACATATACATATATCCTACCCAGCAATCCCATTTCTGAGAGTATACCCTGGAGGTATACCATGCACAGTGTAAAAACACAGATACATAAGTTTGCTGCAGCATATTTGTAATTGCAAAACGTTGAAAACTAAATGTTGAAACAAGAAATTTATTGAATAAACATTCACAATAGAGTACTATGCAGCTGTAAGGATAAGGAAGATGTCAGTGCACTGAAATGGAATGATTTCCAGGATGTATTTCTAAACTAATAAAAACAAAGGACAGAGGAATATAGTATGTGACTTTTGTGTAGGAAATGGAAATAAGAAAACATATGTATACCTGTACATATTCTGTTTACTTTTTCAAAATGTACACAAACAAGAAGGATGAACCAGATAGTGATAAGGTTGGTTACCTGCTTAACAGGGTGGGTGGTGAGGCAGGGAAGGAAATGACATTTCTTTGAGTTACACCTATTTGTATAGTTCTTTATTTTTGCAAGAAGGATGATCTTTCCAGTAGTCCCCCCAAAAATGAAGTTAATCCAATAAGGATGATGGAGGAGACTAAAAACCGAAAGCAAACCAATTCTAACTTATCTCAAGTCAGTAACAACCACATTGAAATAAATAAGCTAATCCAAGTAACATTTGTACTCAGTAGTCAGTCTAGAGAGAAGTGACTGCAAAGAAATACTGAACTCTTAACAGTGTTTTTGTAGTGGTATGCTGTAATGCTTCTGTAACTATTTAAATGTCTAAAAGGGTTGAGCAAATGAGTAGATAGGTTTTGTTAAGAGCCAGCATTCTGTTGAAAAAGACAAACGTGAAGTGTGGGAAGGTGAGAAAAAAGCCCTTGTGGGGATGGCTTGGAATTGGGGATTTAAGTGTGAACTCATAGTTTTTGAAAATACATGTGTGTATACATATGTCACATATGTGTGTGTATATATTCTTTGTCCAGTGGAAAGACCCAGAAGCAAAGAGATACCCAAATAGCAATAAGTACATTGAATACCTAGATCTGTATTTCTTATATCATTCCCCACTAAAAGATACCAAGGCTGTTAGGAGAAATGTTTGGTTCCAGGGCTGGCACAGAAATGGTTATAAGATAAGCCTGGAATATCTTGTTATGCCAGAAAGTAAGGAAATGCTCAGAAAATGATAGAGGCATATCAGAATGACACAGGAGTAGGCTCTAAGGGGCTCCCACTGACCTACTCTGGGACGGTATGATCCCCCAGATAATTAAGGACAATAATGAGTTATAAAACCTTGAAAAGTAGGCTGGGCGTGGTGGCTCACACCTATAATCCTAGCACTTTGGGAGGCCGAGGCGGGCAGATCACTTGAAGTCAGGAGTTCGAAACCAGCCTGGCCAACATGGTGAAACGCCATCTCTACTAAAAATACAAAAAAAAAAAAAAAAAGTAGGCTTGGTGGCAGGCGCCTGTAATCCCAGCTACTTGGGAGGCTGAGGCAGAAGAATTGCCTGAACGTGGGGGGTGGAGGTTGCAGCGAGCCGAGATAGCACCACTGCACTCCAGCCTGGGCAACAGTGAGATGCCATCTCAAAAAAATAAAATGAAACATTGAAAAATAGAAATCCATTAGTTGATAGCAATAGTAAGTAAAAAGAGAAAAAAGAGAGCTCCTCCTTAGAGAATGCTGACTGCTGAACATACAGGGAATGTTGGGGTTGGGAAATCATCACAGTGAGAGATTGGGCAAGAATCATTGGATCCTAAATCTTGAGTGAAAATTTGATGAGCTGAATATTTGCATTGTCTTTAAGTGTCTCCCCATAGATTGCTTATTAAAGAAAATAGCAAAAGTACAGTGGAGAAACTAGACTATATATAGACCAGGACATTAGAAGTAACACAAGGCAGGTGCAGTGGCTCATACCTGTAATCCTGGCACTTTGGTTTGGGAGACCAAGGTGGGAGGATCACATGAGGCCAGGAGTTTGAGACCAGCCTGACGAACATGGCAAAACCCTGCCTCAACGAAAAGTACAAAAATTAGCTGGGCGAGGTGGCGCACGTGTGTAATCCCAGCTATTCAGGAGGCTGAGGCAAAAGGATTGCTTGAACCCCAGAGGTGGAGGTTGCAGTGAGCCGAAATCACACCACTGCACTCCAGCCTGGGTAGCAGAGGGAGACCCTGTCTCCAAAAAAAAAAAAAAAAAATTAACATCACCAGTAAGGGACAGATTGACATCATGCCTCTGGAATCGATGCCTTGAAAATGATAGCATCAATTAGGCAGTGCAACCTAAGTATAATCCTGAGGACACCTAAAACCCAAAACAAGGAAATTTTTATTTTTTAAAAAAGGAAATCTATACAGAAGAATTCCAAATACTTTATATGAATACTCCACTCTCAAGAAAGGGAGTATAACTCCCTGCTCCTTAAGTGTGGGGTATACATAGTCCCTTTGTTCCAAGGAGTATAGTTTGGGAAGGAATTCAGAGTAATTTCACACCAGAGAAACCTGATAAACACTAACTCAACCGGATGATCAAGGTCAACGTCAACATTGATAAGTCATGTTAGTAGGTATCGTTGAAATGCTGTGATACCAAGGACACTTTACCTCTGGGTGTACCTGCCAAAAACATAACCCCAGCCTGATAATGAAGAAACTATCAGACAAATTGCAATAGAACAGACAGCAAAATATCCAACCAAGATTCCTCAAAACTGTCAAGGTCATGAAAAACCAAGAAAACCTGAGAAATTCTCAAAACCAAGAGAAGCCGTTTGACACCTTAAATAATGGAGGCTTAACGGTGACTAAATGTACTGTGGAATCTTGGAACAGAAAAGAACAGTAAAAATGAGGGACAACTGAAAGTATAGACTTAATGACAGTGTACGTATCAGTATTTCATTTATTGTAGCATGTTCAGTGCTAATTTAAGATGTTAATGGTGGACACTGGGCCGTATGGGAACTCTACTAAATTTTCACTTGCACTGTAAATTTATAACTTCCGAAAAAATAAAGTCTTTAAGAAAAAAAGACTTTGAGAACAGTTATAGATTTATAGAAAAAGGGTAAAAAGTCTTAAAGGGACTGCATTCTTAAAAGACATCAAATACAAAAAAGATAAGGTCTCCCTCTAGATTAAAGACCAAGGCACATGACAAATGAAATACAGGACCCTGGACTGAAGAAAAAAAGATCTTGTAAAGGGTGTTGTTGAGTCAGTTGACGAAACTGGGGGATGGATGGTAGATCAGATGAAAGTATTGGGTTAATGTTAAACGCCTTGAAGATGATAGCTGACCTGTGATTATGTAAGAGAATGTCCTTATTACTAGGAAAGGCACATTGAAGGATGAGGCAATAATTCTCAACTGGGATTTTTTTTTTTTTTCTCTCCTGGGAACATTTGGCAATGCCTAAAGGCGTTTTTGGTTGTCACAGCTGGGGGATAAAGACGAGTGTTACTGCCACAAATGATGCTGGACATCTCGTAATGAACAGGCTAGCCTCCTATAACAAAGCATTTTCTGGCCCAAGGTAATATCACCAAGGTTAAGAAACCCTGAGCTGTGCTTCTACTTCTGATTTACAGGTAAAAGGGCTTAAAGAATATAAACCATTCATTAACGGTTGAGAGGGAAAAAATATACATGTAGAGAGGAATAATTGGGAGAAAATGTTAATCATTGGTCAGTCAAGATAAAGGGTGTTTAGATGTTCTTTGTATTGTTGTAACTTATAAATTTATAAATAAAAAGTTAAGTATTTTATGGTAAAAACCTATAACCATCCTTAAAGTGATCTTATAATAAAGGACATGATCTTATAGTAAAGGGCAGTAATTTAAGTTTAGTGAGTTAAGCTTTATGAAAAATAAAAAATGTATTAGTTGATACAAATAGACATTTGCTCTTTTACTCTGTATCCCCTAAACTGTTTTTATTCAAGTTGATGAAAAAAATTCTGTTTTTTTAATCTCATTGGGAAATGAGAAATGAGGGGCCACCTTGTTTTCACACTTACCCACTTCATTGACTTTTTTTTTTTTTTTTTGAGACGGAGACTCGCTCTGTCGCCCAAGCTGTAGTGCAATGGCGTGATCTGGGCTCACTACAGCCTCCTCCTCCAAGGTTCAAGCAGTTCTTCTGCCTCTGCCTCCCGAGTAGCTGTAACTACAGATGCACACCACCGCGCCCAGTTCATTTTTGTATTTTTAGTAGAGACATGGTTTTTACCATGTTAGCCAGGCTGATCTGGAACTCCTGACTTCAAGTGATCCATCCACCTCAGCCTCCCAAAGTGCTGGGATTACAGGCATGAGTCACCGCACCCGGCCCACTTCATTGACTTTTATCACAAGTTTTGTTTAAATTGCTAGTGTTTATATAGTACATAAATAGTATTTACAGCTTCCCAGCCTGTCACTGTACTGTTTCCTTTCTGATACAACTTTGTTTCCTGCAGTTACTGATTGGTTCACTTTTTTCATTTAGTCAGTGTTGAAAGTACCTGTTGCCTTTTTCCACATGCTGCTGCAACAAGCTCCAAACACAAAGATTCATATTTTTCCTAGAGCCC